TCCACGAAATGCACTTTCCTCTTTGTACTGCCTTCATAGTGTCTGAGAGGTTTTCATAATTTATATCATTGTTCTCATGTACCTCTAAGTATTTTTTAATCTCTTCTTTGTTGTTTTCTGCCATTGTTCATTCATTAGTATGTTATTTAGTCTCCAGGTGTTGGAGTAGCTTCTATTTTTTATTTTATCATTAATTTCTAATTTCATTCCATTATGATCTGATAGAATGCAGGGTAGTATCTCTACTTTTTTGTTTTTGCTAAGAGTTGCTTTGTGGCATAATATATGGTCTATAGATAAGGATTCATGTGCTGCTGAGAAGAAAGTGTATTCACTCTTTGATGGATGAAATATTCTATGTATTCCGGTTAAGTCTAAGTTGATAATTGTATTACTGAGTTCTATAGTTTCTTTGTTTAGTTTTTGTTTGGAAAATCTTATCCAGTGGTAAAAGATGTGTGTTAAAGTCACCTAGTAATATTGTGTTGCGGTCTATTTGACTCTTAAAATTGAGTTTGCTTGAACGTAGATGCTCCATTGTTATAGGGCATATATATATATTTTTTTATTAAATTATTTGTTTATTCTAACTTGTTATATACATGATGGCAGAATGCAATTCATTTCATAGTACACAAATAGAGCACAATTTTTCAAGTCACTTGTTGTACACAAAGTATTTTCACATCATTCGTGTCTTCATACATGTATTTAAGGTAATGATGTCTAACTCCTTCTACCTTCATGCCCTTACTAGGGGCATATATATTTATAATTGCATGTCTTGTTGAATGTGTGGTTGGTTTCCTTAAGCAATGTGTGATATCCTTCTTTATCCCTTTTGATTAATTTTGGCTTGAAGTCTACTTTATTTGAAATGAGGATGGAAGGAAATCCCTGCTTCTTTACACAGTCCATATGAGTGGTATGTTTTTTCCCAGCTTTTCACCCTCAGTCTGTGAATGTCTTCCTGTGAGGTGAATCTCCTGAAGGCAACATATTGTTGGGTCTTTTTTAAAAATCTGCCAGTCTATGTCTTTTGATTGGTGAGTTTAGGCCATTAACATTCAGGGTTATTACTGAGACATGATTTGTATTCCTGGTCATTTTTGTTTAGTTTTGGTTTTTAACTTGACTTGGTTTCTCTCTTGATTGGTTTGTGCTTTAATGGAATACCTCCCTTTGCTGATTTTCATTGTTGTTTTTTGTTTCCTCCGTATGGAATATTTTGCCGAGGATATTCTGTACTATAGACTTTTTACTTGTAAATTCTTTCAACTTTTGTTTATCATGGAAGGTTTTTATTTCATCATCAAATCTGAAGCTTAATTTTGCTGGATTCTTGTTTGGTATCCATTTTCTTTCAGAGCTTGGTTATTCTATACTCTTCTAGCATTGAGGGCTTGGTTGAGAAATTTGCAGAGATCCTAATTAGTTTCCCCCTATATGTGATCTGATTCCTTTCTCTTGTGGCTTTTACAATTCTCTCATTATTCTGTATGCTAGGCATTTTCAGTATAATGTGTCTTGGTATAGATTTCTTGTGATTTTGTACATTTGTTTCCTCTAAGCCTCTTGTATTTGATTTTCCAATTTGTTCTTCAGGTTTGGAAAATTTTCTGATATTTTTTCATTTAATAGATTGTTCATTTCTTTGGTTTATAACTCTATGCCTTTCTCTATCTCAATAATTCTTCGTCTTTTTATGTTATCCCATAATTCTTGAAAGTTCTGCTCATGGTTTCTTACCATCTTCACTGTGTGATTAACTTTGAGTTTTTTATTTGGTTTATTGTTTCCTTCATTTCATTTGTGGGGGTTTGTTTTTTGTTGTTGTTGTTTGTTTTTTTCCAGAATCACTATCTCATTATTGAAATAATTCTTTGCTTCCTATATTTGCTCTCTTATATCATCCTTTAATTCTCAGAACATTGTAATTATGAACATCCTACTCCTTCTTTGACATTTCTTCTGCTGTACTGGCCATGGATTCTAATAATGTGGTATCTTGGTTTATTTGGGGTACTTTCTTCCCTTGTTTTTTCATGTTGTTCGTGTGTCTTCTCTTCTAACAGTGTGTTTCTAAGGTGTTACAGTTTTTACTCTGTAGGTTTATAGTGTCCCTGCAAGATTCCAGTACCTCTCCTTTAAGGGGAAATCAATATGAATAAATTGTAATGCAAACAATATACAGCCTTAAGTCAAATAGCTCCTATTAAGACATTTATGGTTTTGTCACACTATATAGAAATGGTGATTTTAATTATTATCTACTGTATAAACAGTAGGTTTGCAAAAGGGTCTATAGCTTCTGATGGTGGACAAAGAGAGAACCAGGAGTAGGGTGTAGAATGAGATTTAAGAAGGTAGGAGGTGAGGGTATAGTTATTAGATCTTAGGAAGTGTGAAAGAGGAATCAAAAGAAGTTGACTAGGAGCAAGAGAAAAGAGAGAAAGTATTTTGGGGCAGACAAGTAAGTGGGAAGACAATAGAAAGAATACAAAAAACAAATAAACATACAAATGAAGAAAAACAAAATGTAAAAACAGGAGATAAAAGAATATTCAACACAACTATAATATTGCTATCAGACATCCCAGTCCCCAGTAGACTGATCCAGGTAAATTAAAGGATTGTTTCTGTTGGAGTTCACTTTGAGGCCCGCTTGTGTGATGTGGGTGCCTGGTCTTATCTCCTTATATTGCCTGTAGACCTCAAAATTCCTGGTCTTCTAATTTAGTCTCTTAACTGTGTCTCATCTCCTCCCTTTCTACTTCCGAATCAGGAACCTCTCTCACAGGCCTGCACACACCTGTTGTGGAGAGCTGTTTTGTTTGGGGCAGATCAGGACCAGGTTTTGTAAGCTAAGGACTGGCCATGTAGCTGCAAGCACTGTGCTGGTTTTGTGGCTGCAGGGAGAGGGGGGAGTCAGGGGACTATAGGTATCTTGATATTGCTTCTAGGCCCCAGCTGGTATCCCAAGCTGGAGGTGTCACAAATGAAGATGGCGATGGCGGTAGCAACAATAACCTAAGTTGGTGACAAAAGTGTCCAAGATGGAAGCAGCTGCTCTCAGAGGTCCCACCGGGCAGTGGTGTTGGGCATCGTGTTTGGAGATGCAGCTCTGTGGAATGCAGTGTTGTGGCTGGCGGCTGTCTCCAGACCCTGTCCAGTGTTCCCAGGTGTAGGCAACTATGGCATTGGTTGCAGTGCCCAAGATGGAGTTACCAGGAGAGCCCCAAGCTGGTAGATGTGTAGCCACACGAGATCAGCAGCCAGCTAGGGTTCCTACATGGGTAGGTGGCCAAGGGTCCTGTTCAGATGCTGAGGCCAGGGGACCTGTGTGGACACAGCAGCCAGGATTCCTGTGCAGGAGCAGCTGTAGTGAATTCTTAAATACATAAAAATCTCTTGAAGGATACATAAGAAATGTATTTTTTAAACCTGCATGTATATATAACCTAGTGATAAAATGAAATACTTGGCCAGCAATATAATAAATTCTTACAGATATGTTGTTGTTACTTACTATTAGAATAAAAAATTCAGAGCTCCATGTGATTTTTCCCCTCCCAATCCCTGCCCTCACTTCCACATGACCTCTTTCCCACCAAGCTCAGCCATATGGGCCATCTTGCGTTGCTTGGGATCTTATGCCTTGTATTAAATATCATTCTTTCCATGGCTGGAATATATTTCCACAGATCTTTGCATGACACACTCTTTTAAGTCTTTCAGTTCTCTGCTTACACATATTCAAAAAGTATTCCCAGGGGCTGGGGTTGTAGCTCAGTGGTAGAGCACTTGCCGAAGATGTGTGAGGCACTGGGTTTGATTCTCAGCACCACATAAATAAATAAAGTTATGGTGTTCATGTATAGCTAAATATATATATTTTAAAAAGTATTCCCAGAGCTGTCTAAAAGTTTAAAGGGGTATATGCCCTTTCCTCTCCTTTAACCTTGACTTAATGTTTCTTTATAACATTTCTAACATTATTTTATATTCTTTTATTTATTCATTGTTAATTTCTTCAAGAAATTTGCATGTATCATTAAGACAGATTTGGTCTTATGAGTTGATGCACTTAGCAGTGCTTACTCTGTACTTACATTAGAAGGGCACTATAATAACTTTGTATTTAGGACAAGCATATAGGATTTTTTTTAGAGCTTTGGTAATGAAAGATTTAAAGCACTAAGGTTTTTAGTAGTTTCACAGGATAGTTTACTTCCAAGTGTTGTTTTGTTTAATATGTTTCCTGGGTGACTTGTTTTTATTTTTACTGTGACCTGAGCAGGTTTCAATATGTACTATTCCAAGAAAAACATAAAATTCTTGATTTTAGAAATAATTGCTTCCCACCTACTTTCAAATCATCTTAAACTTTGGATCTTCTAAATACTTTCTTTCACTAATAATGGAATATTATTTTTATAACCTAAATCTTCAAGTTACTGAATTCTGCAGAGGCTTTTTTTCCCCGCTATGGTTGTTGTATTTGTTCTGTTAAAATAAGATATTCAATTTGAGATGGGGGGGAAATGGTCATTTTCTACATTCTTGATTTCTTTATAATGATTATTAAATTGTATTGGATCAGACTTTTTTTGCTTAATTATTTCCACTCAAAGTTGAAAAAGTTTTTATTTTTTTAAATTTAGAATTACTGAGCCTAACTTTGAACATATGGACAAAAAGGAAATTAAAAACAATAATTTTCTATCAAGAAGTCTATAGAAATTACTTGTTTCATATAAAATATCTCTTAAATTTAGCAGTGTTTTGCCTAATTGTAATAGACTATGGCCATTATATTGTTACTAATTTAAAACAACCCATTGCAATATCTTCAGTTTCCTTAAGGAGAAAATACCATATTTGAACCGTGAACTTTAAAATTTTTATCATATTCTGCATCTACCCAGAAACACCATATTGTACAAATAAAGTTTGAACTAGAAGACCTTTGTGATAATGTCTTTTTTTTATTACCCCAGGTGGTGTTGGATGTTGGATGTGGAACTGGAATTCTCTCTATGTTTGCTGCTAAAGCTGGGGCAAGGAAAGTTCTTGGAGTTGATCAATCTGAAATACTTTACCAGGCAATGGATATCATAAGGTAGATATATTTTTAAGGCTTGCAAATTTGTTCTAAAATTGGACAATTATTTAATAGATTTTCTTGTCTGTAGTAGCTATCAAATACAGACTGTTACAGACTGTAAAGCTTTTGTCTAGAATAATAAGATTTTAAATTGGATTAAGCTAGTCACTTTTGAATTGAGTGGTGCTGGGTAATGTTTTCAAGGATGAGAATTATTTTTATATTTTCTTTCCCTTTTTACTTATGGCTAATTCTAATAGAAAATTAGAAATTATCTCTGGACGTAGTGGTGCATATGTGTAATCCTGGCAATCCATGAGGCTAAGCCAGATGGGATGCAGGTTTGAGGCCAGCCTCAGAAACTTTCCAAGATTCTTAGCAACTTTCCGCGACCTTGTCTCCAAATAAAAGGACTGAGTATGTAGCTCACTGTTAAAGCTTTCCTGGGTTCAATCTCTAGTACCCTTTAAACATAAAAATAAAATTAGAAATTACTGATATTTGTGGTGATATTGACAGAATATTCTCTAGGTAACTAAATATTTATTTATTTTTAATATTTTAGTTGTAGATGAACACACTACCTTTATTTATATATTTATTTTTATGTGGTGCTGAGGATTGAACCCGGTGTTTCACACATGCAAGCCCTTAAGCACTGAGTCACAACCCAGTCCCCTAACCAAATATTTATATCGTAATGTTTTCTTTAGCAAATATTTAATAGATTTTCTTGTCTGTAGTAGCTATCAAATACAGACTGTTTTAGTAAAGCTTTTGTCTAGAATAATAAGACTAAGAGAGATATCTCCTTCTTTCATAACAATATTAGCCCTTTTACTTTTTTTTCTTACATAAGTTCCACAATGGCTTACAAGTAAGGCAAAGTGGATTTAGTTTATCCCCTAACACTTAATTTTAGTACTTAGGTTAATCAGTCATAATTGATTTTACAATTGGCTTATATACTCATAAGAAAGACAGTTTACAACCTGTTAATCAGAAGAGTTGTTTTATTAATGATAGTTACAGAAAGGCCCAATATGCAAGAACAGATAAATATGAGAAAAGAGTTCAAGAGAGTAGAGTACAAAATGAAACTAAAGCTTTACCTTTTATATCACAGAAGAATAGAAATTGTAAAACAGAATACAGAAAAGTTTAATTTTGACAGGATAGTTGTAATAAATGATCATTTTTTTAAAAAAAAAACAAATGCAAAGTATTTTTTGAGGCATTGATGCCAAGCCTCACATACAACTACTACTATTAACTGTTTTCTATTGTTGTATGTTCCAAACCAATTCTATAGTATTATACATATGGATGGTGGTTGTACTACTATTAACTAACAACCTTATAATTACTGCTAACATTAAGCAATTACATGCCAGCCACTTTGCAAAGCACCATAAAGGAATTAAATTTTTAAAACAATCTTAGGAAAAGATTGTTTTAAACAACCCTATTTTATAAGTGAAGAAACCAAGCTTAAAGAAGCAATTTACCCATTTTTATAAAGCTAATTAATGAAAGAGCCAAAATTAGAATTCAAGTCATATGATTCCAAATGCTGAGATAAGTGTGCTATACTACCTCCTCACTGACTGATGAATCAGTAATTGGAGGTCTTAACAATAAATTGTTTCCTGCATACTCTTTTAAAAGTCTGTTCATAAACAGAACAGAATTTATTTTTGCCCCACTATTTCAAATGGAAGGAAAAGGAGAGATGCATATGAACTATATGAAAATAGCTACTATTTCACAACATAAAAACGGCACAGCAGAACATTTCTAAAGAAACAGTACAAAATGTTGGCCTATTGAAAACAAAAAGGCTTGCTTTTCACAGAACACTGATGAGGGCTAAGATTTATTATAGCAAAGTTTACAGTGCAGGAATAGCAGGTAAAAAGATACCCATAGGCTAAGAGGTCACAGACATACTTCAAGACATCCCTCTTTACACCCCAGCTTCAAATCTCAAGACACATGAGATCTTAATACACAGAGAAGTTTGCTGAGTCTTAGTGTCTTTAGTTCTCAAAGAGTGCTATTCATGTAGGTATAAATCTGACATGTTACCAGCCATAGTACAGATCTGAATCAGACTCCAGGTGTGTATCATGAATCTTCTGTTTACTTTTAAACATATAGTCATTCTTGTTTATTTAGACCCACTGGTTTAGGCTAATAACATCATTTGTTACCCAGTAATAATGTTGAATGTTCTAAGAGCTCTCTTAAAGATTGATCAATCATTGCCATGCCTATGGGGATAACATAGTAGAGCAGATCTCCTGTGTTAACTCTTACAGATCCAAATTAAAAGCCTGGGATTCTTACTTGATTTTTCTTTCTCCTTTACCCAGCATATCTGTTGGAGACATGATTCTTTTAATTGAGAATCCTTAATGTTTCTCAAATCTGCCATGTTCCATCCTTGATGTTTCACAAATCCATATCTGTATTAATATTTCTGTATCTCTTATTTGAATGGATATAGCTGCTCTTAATAATTTCTTGAGTTGTTTCTACTTTGTCTTCACTTCCCAATGCTCCCTGTGGTAGAGTGATACCTATGTTTCTACCCAATTCTACCCTTTTAAATTAAAAAGAAAAAGGAAAAGAAGGATGTTTTCTGAGATGTATAAGATGTATATATAAGAGATGATGAAAAAGAAACTAAAAATGACCTATGATCCTGCTGTCAGAGATTATTGTTGACATTTTGATATCTTTCTTGATAGTCTTAAGAGCTTTAAGTCATAGGAAATTAAATCCATACAAAAGTCAGTTGTACTAAAATATCAGCTTCTCAAGGTTAGGCAGGGAATTTTTTCTTTTTAATGATGCATCCCAACCATCTGGCACATGGTAGGCATTCAATGTAAATACTTACTCTGAGTAAATAAATTAATGAATTTCTGATACCTACCATATCACATGACAAGACAGGTTAACCACCATCACCAAAGCCTGAAAACCCATTGACTCTGCTTGAATCCAAATGCTCCTTTTCATTAGTATTTTTTTTAACAAGGACTTAGAGGCTGCTTTTGCTCAAAACATTGACTCTTCCCTTGGGCCTACAAATGTATAACAACTTGGCACCTCTGACTCCATTTTGCATCTAGCTTCTTTGAGTTGTTCATCTTGGATTCCAGGAACAACAGGTCTGATCCATAAGAGGGTTTTTTTGTTGTTTGTTTGTTTGTTTAATTGATTTTTTAAAAAATAAATGTCAGTTTGATGCATTACAATTCTTATTACACTTAAGGTTTTTATGATGAGTAGAAACTAATCCCCAGGCAACAGCAACTTTCTTATCACCACTGACAGGGCACCACCTGTCCAATCCTGAGGTAATGATCAATTAGATCCCCTTTTGACCAAGAATGCTTGACTGTGCATACTTTGGGTCCCCTTATCTGTATAATATGGAGCTCATGTTAATACCCTCAAAGACAGGACTGGAAATGCTCAGTCCCCTTTACCTATGGTGTAGCTATATTAAAGTTCCTTTGCTGCTTTTTATCATTACTTTTTCCATTTGATTTTGGACTTGATTTGTTGGGACCCCAACAGTTAGGCCTCTGGCATAGGAGTCCAGTAACATTTTCATTACATTCAAAGCTGAGTTGTTGCTCATTTCAAACAATAAATGTCCTCAGTATTAGTAATTTCATAGCTACACACATGTAAATACCAGACTGGGTACAGTGGCACATGCCTATAATCCCAGCAACTTGGGAGGCTGAGGCAGGAGTATCACAAGTTCAAAGCCTGCCTCAGCAATTTAGTGAGGCCCTAAGCAACTTAGCAAGACACTGTCTCAAAATAAAATATAAAACCGCTGGGGATGTGGCTCAGTGGTTCAGTGCTCCTGGGATCAATTGCTCATACAAAAAAAAAAAAGTAAATACCAGTGATATATACTTGGGAGGGGGAAGCTCATGAAATAGCCTTGTTTTGGGTCCAGGTCTAGGACCTATGTTTCTGTCTGCCTATTTTCCATGAAATATGCATACATTTGTCCCCTGCTTTATGGTAAAAGATCTTTACTTTTTGTTTCTATTTATGGATGGAGGACTAGATTCTTTAGTAAAGATCGCTAGTATGGATTTATTTTTTCTCTTTGAGAGAAAAAAAGGGAGACTTGGTCAGGACATAATTCTTCCAATAAGTTTTTAGTTCCTTTGTCACTTTTTAGCTCCCACATCCATAATAATCTTTTCTGATGTATTCACTGGGCACTGAGTCCTCCTTCACAGATTTGTCAATTCTCCTTCACAGGTTTTTCATTTCTTTATTTTCTTACTAAATTATCAGAATCTTTGGTTCTTGGTATCCTCCAAAATCTGTGCATTTATATTTTTCTGTCATTTCACTTTGCTGAAGAGAGAAAAATAGAAATATGTGAACTTTGATGATATACTGAACTGGAAACAAAGTAATATTAAACTTGTATATTTTTAAATCTCTTAGAGTATTCCTTTCCTCTCTTTCATGTGCTCTTTAAAAAAAAGTCATTGTCATCCACCTATTCTTCTAGGTTAACTTTAGAATTGTTTTATGACTCTTTATTTATTTATTGGTTGCTAAGGATTGAACTTAGGGGTACTCTACCACTCAGCTATCTCTCTAGCCATTTTTATTTTTTATTTTGAGACAGGGTCTCATTAAGTTGCTGAGGCTGGCTTCAAACTTGGGATCATTCTGCCTCAGGTTGCTGGAATTATAGGTGTAAACCACTGTGCCCAGCTGTGACTAACTTTTAATGCCACTTACTTGATTAGGTGTTCATTATGTGAACTCCATGATACTTCTTATTGTTTGCTTGTCTGTCTTCTTGTGTTCCATTGTGTAAGTAAAATCTGGACTCATTAGCATCTCTCAGAATACCTCCCAACATTGTCCCTGCGTAGGATCTCTTCTGGCTGTAGTTATGCTAATTATTATAGTTCTTTAAATTTCTCTCCCACATATACGCACAGGCAGTAGTGTACATG